TAATTCTGTACCATTTCCTATAGCAAGAAGGGCATATTAATTTAAATTTGTTTGTCTGTTACTTAATAGGGTTTCCAAGAATTTTCATTATTCCTTAAACTGCATATTTATAGGCTCCTCCGATGCACTGTAAAATCTTCAAAGAACATTAACACTGCTTATTTTTATGGGACACATATTCTCTACCTATTTGAATTCTTGCAGCAATTATCATCCAGGGGAGGTTATATTTAGTGCTGTTTTACAGATGATGAAACAAAGGCCACAAGAAGTAACTTACTTGCTGGAAGCCCCACATTGTTCAAAAGTCAGCATGGAGTCCTCCAGGGGCTCAAATATGTGTTCTCAAGAGTTAGAACTTATTTCCTCCTTCTTCATTCTTTCTTGTACTCTTGTATAATATTTGACAGCTGAATAATAGCATTATACTTTGCCAATTGCCTATTGTTTCTTTTTGTTCCCTTTCAGTTGTCACAAGAACGGAGACCATGTTTACATTGTTCATTCATTGCTATAAACCTAGAGCCTAATATACTTCATGTAGTAAGAACTTTGTGAATATTTACTGAATAAATGAATGAAAATTTATCTTGTAGTATGTGAGAAGTTCTTGGTTTGGTTCAATCTCCAGCATGGAAAAAAATTTTTTTTTCCTCTAAGACTAAATTGCCATGAGAAAAATTCAATTAAATGATTTTATGTTGGAGTTAATATATGTATCAGTTGAGGTGGATGAAGTCATAAAACAGCATCAAAATATTGGTGTCTTTAAAGAAATGTTTCTTGTTCACGCTATCTTGAGCTGGCAATGAAATCTTCTTCATAGTCACCCAGGGACCCAGACTGAAGGAGCAGCCATCAACTGAACCATCATCTGTTACAATGACCAGGCAAAGTAGCCTTTGGAAGGTCTTGAATAGCAATGTTAAATGTTCCAACTCAGAAATGATCCTGTTAATGTTCATTCACAATTCCTGACCAGAACTAGTCACAGGCTTCTGCTCCCCCCAGCACTATGCAGAAAGAGGCTGAGAACTGCTTGAGTCACATATATTTTTTTTTTGGCAGTATTGGGAATCAAACTCAGGACCTTGTGCTTCTGAGGCAGGTGTGGTGCCACTGAGCTAATACCCCAGTCCTATGACTACCATATTTTGATTTTGAGCTTTTTGCAGGTACACACACCTGTAATCCTAGTTATTCAGGAGGCTGAGGCAGGAAGATCACAAATTCAAGGGCAGCCCTGGGGAATTTGGCTGACTTAAAACAAAAAATAAGAAAGGCTGGGGATGTAGTCCAGTGGTGGGGTACTTGTTTAGGATGTGTGAGGCCCTGGATTTAATCCCGAGCTCTGCAAGGGAAAAAGCAAAGTAATTTTTTAAACCAAACCCCAAGAATTAGGTAACAAGAGGAATTCTTGTTTGATCCTACAAAATACATTTACAAGATACAATTGTCTTCACAACAGCTCTAATGAAGAATTGATCATTAGTGAAATTAAATACTTAAGTAAAATGAGATAATTATCAAAGAGAGGTAGAAATGGAAAGAGAATTCAAATCTGTACTGCTGGTAGTGAATGAAACTTATTTGTTCCACGTTTATGGAGATAAATTACATGGGGGTGCAATAAACATATTTTAAAATAAAATCATTGCTGCAAGTTTAATAGGATCCAAGGACAAGATTAAAAATTCTATGTATCAGTGCCTTGGCAATTATTTTAGTGACACACAGAAGGGGCATCTGGGCTAGTAACAGCCTGACAAAGACTGAACAGCCTGAACCAGAGAAAAATATATTTGAATAACGCACGCCAGTGTTGATTTTTAGCATACAAAAATATTGATTTTGGATCTTTGTCATTACTGGGGATTAAACCCAGAGCCTTTACACTGATCTCCATTTCCAAACTTTTTTCTAAACAAATATTTTGAGCCAAGGTTTTTTTGCTAGGTCGCTTAGTTGCCAAGGCTGGGCTTGAACTTGTGATACTTGGCCTCCGTTTTCCCCAGAGTTCTGGGATTACAGACTGTGTACCACTACAACCAGCTTGCTTTGTCTTCCTCTTCCTCTTCTTGTTTGCCTTCCTCCTCCTCCTTCCCTTTCCCACTCCTGCTCCCCCCCCCGCCCCCGCCTTTTCTTCCTAGTCTTCCTGTTTTCTTTTTTGCACTACTGGGGGTTAAACACAGGGAGTGCTGAGCTACATCTTCAGCTCCTTTTATTTCCTGATTTTATTGAAACAGGGTCTCACTAAGTTGCCCAGACTGGCCTCAAATTTTTGCACCTACTCCTGTGTAGCTGGAATCACAGGTGTGCACCACCGTCCCTAGCTCTCCATTTCCAATTTTTAAAATAAAAAATAAATCGAGTCTTCACTAGTGAATATTAATAGAATTATTAATTATTTATTGTATAACATTTGATTTCCACAGGGCTGGTAATTACTCAAGAAAACTTGTAGAATTCCATTCCCTAGTTTACATCTCAAATGGCTTACTAAATCTCACTGATCCTAATTTTTTATTTTTGATAAGCTACCAAATTTCAATCTAACCAAAGCTGTATGAATTGTTTGGGATATAATTTCCTGTAGTCAATTAATTTTCAGTAAATGATTTTTCAAAATAAAAGCTGAAAAAATAAAGAATTCAACTTAATGGAGGAATGGAATGTTATATCCATTTGATTAGTTTGGACATAAACTACTGGCTTTATTCCTCTTTCTTTATTGTGCTGGGAAGGGGACCTAGGTTCTATACCCTCCGGCCTAGGAAGTCCTTTACTACTGAGCTACACTTGAGTCCCCTTGGCTTTATTCTTAATCAGCTGTAGCAGGGTATGGAGTGATATGGTTTTCAAATGTAGTTCCAACGACTGTATTAACATCAAAAATATTCTTTAGGACAGTCTGATTTTGCTTATCATATGACTATTATGACTATTATGTAGGCTGTTATTAAAAGGATGTAGCAAAGTCATGATGTTCTCAAATGTTAGACATGCAGTTTGCAAGTGCTTAAAAAGAAGGTCAAAGTTCCGAAGATAATTAAAAATAGTTTGTACTTGAAGCATAAAATTTGCTACATCAACAGTTCCTTGTTGCAGAAAAAGTCACCTTTATGAGCAAAAAAATCGTTCATTCTCTGCACTAAAATTTGATCCAAATATTTGAAATATTGCAATGCATGGTATTACATTGTTGATGAATAGATTAAAACATCACTTCACTGTAACTCAGCTATCAAAATTCTGTTTCAAAAGAAAAGACCATCACCAAGGAAATGTGCTAGAAATTTTATGGTAGCACTACTTACTATAGTTCCAAACTTGAAATTATCTTAACATCCATCAGAAGAATGAATTAATAAATTATGGTATAATTATAGAATGAAATAAAATGATGTGCAAGTATATATAAGTAAAATGTTGAACTAAAGAAGCCAAACACAAAAGAATGCATACTTTATGATTTCATATATCTCAAGTGTAAAGGCAGAAAAACTGATCTATGTTGTTGCAAATCCACAGAGACCCCATGCTTGGAAGGAAGCAGGAACTAGAAGACAGAATGCTGGGGCTCCCAGGTGTTGATAGCATTCTGATTTTTGATCTGGGTGGTGAATACAAAGATGTGTGTAGGCTGTGAAAATAGTTAGAGCTGTATACATATATACTAAGATTATGTACACTTTTCTGTATGTATATTATATTGCAATAATGACTTTTAAAAAGAAAAAATCCAGGAAGTCTAAAAGAATTGGCTGTCAACCCAACATAATCCTCAAGGTAATTACCAGAATTTGAGTCATCCATATGAGCATCACTCTCTAAACAGACTACTAAGTACACTGGATTCAGAACTCTTGTCCCTAGACCAGAATACCTAAAATATCAAAACAAGTTAATCATTTGCCTTTAAACTCTCTACTCTGTGGATTTTCTGTAACTTCAGGGATACCACTGTTGTTTAATCCATGGCATCTTCTACTTTAAATCTCATGTGTTGTAATCTCTTGATAGTCTCCCAATAGCCTATTTTGCTCTCCACACATTAACCAAAGTGACTTAAAGTCTAAACCACATCCTTTCATTTGCTTCAAATACCTCAATAGAGACCCACTGAATCTAAAATGTAGCACAAACTCTAAGGCTGAATTTTCTTCACCTACTTCACAGCTCGCTGTTCCTCTCCCTCACTGTACTACACTAGAATCACATTGGCCTTGTTCTTCCAAAACCCGGGTTGTTCTACTCTACCTCAGCACCTTTGCTGTGGTGCCCCCAGCGCCCAGAACAATCGTCACTTCACCGGTTCCAGTGACTCATTCCCTTCTCACCCCAGACTCGGCTTCAGTGCCGTTCTAGTTATCATGTGACAGCCCCACCAACCCCGCACTGCTCTCAATATGCATACTTTGTATCCTCCCTTGACAGACTTCTTATTTTGCGTTTATTTATTTGATAGTTTTCTTCCCTTCTTTGTTAGACTGCAAATCCTAAGGGCAGCACTAATGCCTCTCTGAGTTGGATTTGTCTCTCCAATGCCTAGCAAGTGCCTGACACACACAAGGTCCTTCATAAACATAGGAACACTCGGCTAATGAATAGATAGTCCCAAGCGATCTCGAGATGCCTGTTTATTCAACCACGAAGAGCGCTACACTGTGAATCTGTTAAAGAACAACCAAGGAAAGCCGATACCTTCAAGCTCTAAGCCCAGCAAAGTGCCCTTCTCGGTTTCCTAGCTGTCACAACCACTCCCAGGCCCAAAGCGACACGCCCCCTCCTCGCCGACTGGCAGGGTACCAGGTCCGATGGCCCCGCCCACCGCCTGGGCGCGCCCCCTCCTTGGCCTCAGCTCCTCAGAGCGAGGGCGGGACGCCGCCTCGAGCTGCCACTGGTCCAGGTTGACGTCGCCCCGCGCCATTCAGTTCCTGAGCTCCGAGTCAAATTGCAAAACTGGAGGCTCGTTCCTCTAGGGATCCGTGATTGGATGCCATCGAGGGTGGACACACCGCTTCGCCGAGCGCCGATTGGCCAGAACTGCAGTCAGTCAACAGGATCAGCCTTGCCTCATCTCCATCTACCCAGGAGCGTGTTTAAATTTTTCGAGAATTTCCTGGAGATGAGGCGGAGGCTGCTTTAGTTGCTTGCTGTGGAGATCGGAGTCAACGGGGAAGGCAGTCTTATTTACCGGCCAAGAGAACCCCCTCCCCGCCCTCCGATAGCTTAATTTAAAAATCCTGGGAATACAGCCACCACTAGAGGTAAGCGCCGGAGAGGGCAGTTCATTTACTTCTGTGGGCTGTGTGCGATGCTATTTATGGGCGACCTGGAATGAGAGTGAAGGGAGAAGACTTCCTGGGAAGGTGCTGGAGGAAGGTCGTTAGTTTCTCCAGCCTCTTGGGACCGCGCCCGGCCTTGAACCTGACTGCAGGCTGGAGGGCCGGGGGTGCCGAGCTGCGGGGGGGCTCTGGAAGCGAGGATGCTACAGGGTCTGTGTTGCTGCCCAGGAGAAGCACATGTGACAGAGCGGGATCCGAACGCCCAGAAGGAGGCTGGAGTCAGTGTCCGGAGGCGGATGGTGTGGGGGAATCCAGCCTTCTGCACTGCTGCGCGGGCGGGAAGGTGCTCTCCTGCCAAGTGTCACACGCGCCACTCATCTGTCACGGTCAGCAAACAGAGCCCGGGATCTCGACCTGTCCAGTGGAGAGCTTTTCTGGAGATCGGTAGAGAGAAGGATGCAGAGCTCGGGTTGGATTGGATCGGACGACTTGGGTTTTGCTTTGCCAGGAGAGAATTGAAAACCAAGGCCTAGTGGCTGAGGGTGCCAATCTTTGTAGCTGCGAATTCAGGAGAGATGACAAAAGAGGCGGCTCTGGGTGGAGACAGCCAGGGAAAACAAAATCTCTTAAGAGCCTCTGGCCTTTCCTAGCTTCAAACTGGAAATGTGTAGCAAGGCCTCGTTTTTGCTCCTTTTGCCAGGACAGAGGAAATAGTGAGGTTGTTGAGCAGTTTCAGAATGAGCTACTCAAGCGACAGATCAGAATGGTCTTGAGAACAGCCATGATTAGTGGTGTTCTAGTTCCGCTGCTACAGCAGGAAGGAGCGAAACGCGAGCAAGTGTGTTGAAGTGTACGGAAATTAAGAACAGATCCACCACTGTGTAATAAAATACCTTAGTTATAGTTTTAGGGTCATGAGTTCTAGCTAAGGATTTTTTTCTTGCAACTTAGTCACTTTCTGTTGATCATACAGGCACCTCCCTTCATTGGAATCTTAGATAAAAAGGAAGAGTGGGAGGTGCTGGTGATGTAATATAGAAGAAAGGAAAATTCTTCCCAGATACAAAGTTACAGGCTTGGAATGTGATCTGTGATTTGTGTCTTTAGTTTGAAAAGATATCTACAGAAAGAGTAATACTGCTCCAATGTTTTTTTTCTCTATTTGCACATCTAAACCTATGTTCACATCCTAAGGGGATGGAGTTTTGTTGTTGTTCATTGTTTTCTTTTTTCCCTAAGGTAGATTAGTAAATTTTCTTTCCTTCTAGCTATAAATAAGAAAAGATAAAGAAGGCTATAGGGTCCTGGAAGTCTGTTATTTTAGTTTATTGGAAAGCAGTGGTTTTTTACCCCCTAAAGGTCAGTAAAAAGAAAAAAAATATCTTGTTTTAAGAATATTAAACATTATCTGTGTTTCCATTGTGGAAAGATATTTGTCACTTTATAATAGAACAAATACAATTTTTAATACATTTTTAATAATAATTTTAAAATAATTTAAAATTTTAATTTTCATATTTTTTTCTAGAAGGATAAAATCTAAGCAGCTATCATAGTACTGATCTTTACAACTCCTGGGTGATTTTGTCATGTGCTTAATAAACTGCCCTTCTGACCTGGTTTCATCTCTCAAGAATACTTTATCTCAAATCCAAATCCTGTCAGAGGCAGCTTCTCCCTTTTCCAGAAATGAATACGGGCAGCTCTAAGGTGTTATACCACCAAGGGATGAGAAAGGGCAAGTAATATGAAAGAATAATAAAATTGGCATGGCAGTTTTGTAGTTGTATATATAGCTTTTCTTCACTTCTATTTCCTTTTACTTGTAAATCAAATATGTGCATAAAGTTACCATTGCTGAGCTGGGGGTGCAGCTTGTCAGTAGAACTCTTTCCTAGCATCTGCAATGCCCTGGATTCTAACTCCTGCACCACACACACAAAAGTTTAATAGAAGCCAAATGTACTTCTTACCCTTATTGATGGTTTTGACCTGAGATTTGCTCTTGGGATATGTGTTTTTCACAGATGGTCTTGTGTGGAGTACCACTGTCAGTTAGATTTTTATTTTTATTTTTTTTAAGAAATAGAATTGTTTACCTGGGGGCCAATCTTGTTCTCTAGTCACAATTCTATTTCAGTCTTAAAGTATCACACCGAGAGGGCCGGGGATTTAGCTCAGTGGTTCCACTGCCTGCTCCGCAAGTGCAAGGACCCGAGTTCAATCCCTGGTACCAAAAAAAAAAAAAAAGTATCACACTGAGGAGGAAGATGGGGAAGGCTTAGTCAAACTAATTACTATGGAAACGATGGAAAAAGAAATATTTTCAGGAAGTTATGTGTTGACAATAGCTAGAATATATAAGATATTGTGTGTACTCACACATTTAACATATTTTTAAGAATTCATATGGTTAATTCATAAAGTAAATTGTGACCCATAGCTTTATAAGGGGAGATACTTTGGATTAAACCCAGGGCCTTGTGCATGCTAGGCAAGCACTCCACCACAGAGTCACACACCCCCAGCCCTTTCTAAAATTTTTATTTTGAAATAGTGTCTCCCTGAGTTGGCTGGAGAGGCCTTAATCTTGTGATCCAGTAGCCTCAGCCTCCAGAGAGGTGCAGTTACAGGTATGTACCATCACAAGTGGGAAGCCATGCATTTTTGTTTTAATGAGGAAATAAAAAGGAAAATAGTTTAATCTAAGTAGATGATTGTCTGTTTTTTTTCTTTTTGTATGTGACCATTAACATGTTTTAGATTGATTATGCAATATATTGTGTAGCTAGGAATGCAATAGTTCATCTTTACTTTCTTGCTTAGCATAATCTTTAGTTTATTTTTGCCAGTATGATATGTATGCCTTCTTGTTGTTTTGGTTTTTTTTGTACCGGGGATTGAACTTGGGACCTTTTGCTTTCGAGGCAGGTGGCACCGCTGAGCTAAATCCCTGGCCCATGTGTATGTGTTCTTATGGTTTTTGTTTCTTTAACTTTTGCTCTGACATACTTCTGTGTAATTCAGAGGGACTTCAAGTTGAACTCCTTCTTTTACTATTTTGGATGACTTGGCTTCCAAAGCTTGAATTGTTAAAATGGTTTCTAAAAATAAACTAGCCTTGATTTCCCATCAAAAGATTGATATAGTTCTCCCCTGCCTACTCAAAAAGATTGTCAAGTAACTGTTTTTTAGTTGGTAAATGATAAACTTATCCCAATTCATAATTGCTGAATGAAGAGAATTCTTAGGTGTCTGACAATCTGTATTCCACTCTTTGCTATAGAAAACATTGATTTTTTAAAAAGAGTTTTGAACTGGGAATGGTGGTGCATATCTAGAATCCCAGCAGTCTGGAAGGCTGGGGCAGGAGGATGACAAGTTGAAGATCAGCCTGGGCAATTTAGTGACTTAGTGAGACACTGCCTCAAAATTAAAAATAGAAAAGAAGCTGAGGATGTAGCTTAGCATGAATTTCCTGGATTCAATACCCAGTACAAAAAAAAAAAAAAAGAAGGGGGTTGTTGTTTTGCACATCTCAAATTCTACTCCCCTTGCCTGTTGTTCAGTGCATAGTTATTTCCGTGAGGCAGTTTATGAGGTCAGTTTCCAAGTCTGAAGCTGTGGAAGAGACATTTCTTGATGTGTAGGGTGTTTCTGTTTGTTTCTTTATTCTTGGCTTTCTGTGTGTGTGTGTGTGTGTGTGTGTGTGTGTGTGTGTGTGTGTATGTGTGTGTGTGTGTATGTGCTGGGGATTGAACTCAAGACCTTGTGCATGCTAAGCCTAGCTCTACCACTGAGCTATGCTCCCAGCCTTTGTGTTGGTTTAAAGTTGTTACTTAACAAAGGTTGCCTTTTAGTGGTTTCCCAAGGAATCTGGAAGGGATTAGTATAATTTAGTGTTATTGCAGATGGAGAAAGAGTTGAAACTCCTGAAAGAAAGTCTCTTGCTGGCCTAGTTGATATGATGCTCACCTAGCTTTGTAGTGTTGGTAAGTCAGCTGCATATCTGACTTACAGTTAACCTCTGACAATAATGTACCTTCAAGTAGATGTTTTTCTATAGCTATTTTATTGAATTTTTGAGAAAATTATGCAGGAAATATGTAAGAATGAGGCCAAGTTGATGATTGATTTCAATCTACATAGGCTTTAAGAAACTGACCAACTTGCCTTTTATTTTATTATTTTTTTAGTATAT